CATGCATACACACCACAATTTAAATAATTCTGAATCAGAGTCAGACCAATAAGGAAGTCACAGTTTTGCACAAGGAGCAAATTTGAAAATAACTGGCGAGTTTTCTATGATTACGAGCTGTGGTGGCTCAGTGGTTAAGACACTGAACTGCAGGCTGGAAGGTTGGTAGTTCACAGGTCAAGACCCGAGTGCCGCATGACAGAGTGAGCTCCCGTCTCTAGTTCCAGCTCCTGCCAACCGAGCATTTCGAAAGCTATAAATTGCAAGTAGATAAATAGGTACCACTTCGGTGGGAAGGTAACAGCGTTCTGTGTGCCTCAGTGTCTAGTCATGCCAGCCACAAGACCACGGAACCATCTTTGGACAGCACTGGCTCTTCGGCTTGGAAATGGAGACGAGCACTGCAAGTCGAATTTGACTGGCTTTCGAGCAAGGGAAACCTTTACCTTTCTATGATTACTGTAACCAATCTTTGTGATCATGCAGTTGAATGGTTTACATTATATGATAGCTTAGGTATGAAATATTAAAGAGGTTTTCTGTCATATGATTCTTATCACAACGAACTGTTATTCATGGTTTATCATATAAGATAGGATAAAATATAAGATAGGATAAAAATGTTAATATATTATGAGAAAATGGTAGAATGTTGAGTAGGTTGTTATAGTGGTTTTTGAAGTTATAATGCTATATAATTTTCCTAAAAATGCAAGTATTTGAATCAAGGATTGTCCTTTATATTTGCAAAAAAATCACCTTTTCTAAGTTTTGGTAATTTTACATTTTATTCTTTCCCTTTACCCCCTTTTTAATTCACTATTCCCTCAAAAAGTTCAAAATAAAAATTAAATTTAAAAAACTTTTTTGCACAAAGAGCTCAACAGAATTTGAAGCTCATTCATGTCATAAGCAAGTTGTGCTTATGTGCGTTAAGTCTGAACGTGGCATAAGTGAGAGGGTTGTATCAGATGTGCTAATTAATTTGCACAGTCTGGGCACAGCGGATTCACACGTAGACTTGACGCAGTGAAGGTGCTACGGGTTCATTTTTCGGCATACAACCTGGGCCCCTGAATGTGGCTCATTTTGCCTTGAAACTCCTTCACAGGGCATGTTATGGTGATGACCAACATTCTAATATAAGCACTGGTTCCTGATCACTTCAGAGCAAAGCCACTTCAAAAGAAGAAGAAGAAGAAGAGATTGGATTTATATCCCACCCTTCACTACCCAGAGGTGTCTCAGAGCGGCTTACAAACTCCTTTCCCTTCCCCTCCCCACAACAGGCACCCTGTGAGGTAGGCGGGGCTAAGAGAGCTCTGACAGAAAGTGCTCTTTTTTCAAGAACAGCGCTCTTATCAGAACTATGGCTTGCCCAAGGTCATCAACCAGGTGCAAGTGGAGGAGTGGGGAATCAAACACGGTTCTCCCAGATTAGAGTCTGCACACCTAACCACTACACCAAACTGGCTCTCTCAGCTAGGTGATGTTTTAATAGCCCTTTGTTGTTGGGTTTTGAAATTGTAACACTGACCCGGATGGCCCAGGCTAGCTTGATCTTGTCAGCTAAGCAGGGTCAGCCCCGGTTAGTACTTGGATGGGAGACCACCAAGGACATCCAGGGCTGCTATGCAGAGGCAATGGCAAAACAGCTTTGTTCGTCTCATGCCTTGAAAACCCTGTGGGGGTGTCCGTAAGTCAGTTGTGACTAGACAGCACTTTCCACCACAACTTCTGGGTATAAGCTCTCGTGTGCATGCACGCTTCGTCATATCTTGGTGGTAATGGAGCGAGGCTAGAGAGAAGACAAGCTTGAATCAAACCAGGAAAATGCCCAGTGGCTCCTAGAAAGTATCGGGCATCTGCACATCCCTTTGCTCTCTTGAAAACGTTTTGCACACAAATCGACAGTCTGCAATTTTCCTATGCTCTGTACTGCTCGATACAAGTCAGTGCAAAGTAAAGAGGGAATTTCCAAGTCAATTTGAACAGGGTTTTTCTATTGGATTTTTATTCTGTTTTTTTTTTTTTTTTTTATTTTGTTTTTTTTTTTTTTTTGTGTGCTTTATTCTGCAACAAGTTTTATGTTGGACCTGGGAGGTGGAAGACTCCTGAATTAGAGTTTCACCTCCCTTCAAGAGGCTACCAGAGGCTCTGGTTTGGACAAAAGAGGAAATCAAGTGGTATACAACTGTAGCACACGGCATACCTTACAGGTATGGTCTATAGATTTCAGCATTTGTGTAGACGTTCAGAAGATTTATTTGTCATTACCTGCAATTCTCTTTGATATCAGACCTGTGCCGCCGCACAGGGGTGGCTTCCAAAACCGAACAACGAATCAGAAAGTCTCTGGTCTGAATCGGGGGCCTCAGGGAAGTCACTTAGACTGCACCACAGCCCCTCTCTGCCACGTGGGGACAAGGACACTGACCTACCTTGCATGGTTGTTGCATGGATTGCAACAAAATAACCTCTGTGCAGCCTTTCAAACATTCTGGAATGCAATATAAATTCCTACTACTAATCAACAGTGTTAAGAATGATTGTTAATATAAGCCATTTAGTCTTGGGCAGATTTCCTTCTTCCCCTTCTGATCTCTCTTCTTCTTCCCACAGATTGAAACATTTAAAAATGAGAGCTGTACCATATTCTGGTTTTTGCATTGAAGGGTATGTTTTGAGGTATGGGGGAAATACACCAGATCCCTGCCGTCGTCCCCCGCGACTTTTCATGCTCATCTCTATTCTTCAGCAACAATTGTAGTCTACTCCAGAGATCCCCAACACGGTGCCCACCGACACTCTGATGGAACAGAGGTCCATCAGTGGCTATTAGCCACAAGGTATAGATAGGGGCTCTGGGACAAGTGATGCTCTGTGGTGCTTGGGAGGGCTTCTAATGTCCTGGCCCCACTGGTTCCAGGGCTGCTATGCAGAGGCAATGGCAAAACGGCTTTGTTTGTCTCGTGCCTTGAAAACCCTGTGGGGTGTCTGTAAGTCAGTTGTGACTAGACAGCACTTTCCACCACGACTTCTGGGTATAAGCTTTTGTGTGCATGCATGACACTGTTCCTGGGGCTCACCAAATATTCATAAAGGGGGTGGGCTTTTGCCCAGCAGGGCTTCTGATCAGGAGTGTCCAGGCAAACAAACATTTTAAAACAATATATTCATTTTGAAAGGCAACAGAGCCTCTGCCTGAAATGTTGAAGAGTTACTGTTAAGAGTCCTGCATAACTTCCCTCCCTGACATTCTGTGGTCGGCTATGCCTCTTTTGGCAGCCTTTTTGCGGTAGCGCCCGCCCACCCTATGTCAGAATTTGAAAGGTGTCCACAGGCTAGAAAAGGTCTAGAATTCTTATTCTAGACATCATTCTGTCTTTACTGCTCTGCAATTCCACTCACTATATTGCTTATAGCGTGCTTTGCCTTAGGGAGTTCGTTATTTTCATTGCTTTCTGATGCCATAACCCAAGTCCTGTTGCATTGTTTACTGGATGTCTTACTGCTGTAGAGATAGGTTGCTTTTATTCCGGGCCCTTGAGTCTCTGTGGAGAAAGGCGGGCTATCCAGAGAGTCGATAGATAAAACAAACCCAGGCCACCTGGGAGTACATGCCCAATCAGATACCGCCGACAGCTAACGGGATGACATGCTGTGACGCATGAGGATGTCGGAAAAGTAAAACCATGGGGGGGGGGCCACACGAATTTAGGCATGACATACGAGGGAGCACGAATGCAGGCCGGGGGATTCGGGACGCGGGCCGAACGTTCGAGAGGCATGCCGGAAAGAAAAGAAAAGGAGGTTTTCACGTGAAATAAAATCTTTTGTATAAAAAACAAATTCTATTCAGAGTTATTAAAATTGTCAAGGTAGGCCCAGTCTCTTAACTTCCAGCCATATTTCACTGGAACATATCTTGGTCCTTCAGGACCTCTGCATAGGATGCCTTCTGGATTAGGAACAGTTGAGAGGCAATGGAGAAATTGTATGCTTTAATGTCAAGCCATATGCAGGGCTATTTTTGGGCAGGAACGCACAGGAACGGAGTTCCGGCTGGCTCCCAAGTTGGCCACGCCCAGCAGGAACTCATTAGCATAATAGGCCACACCCAACAGCAGGAACTTATTAGGATTGGCTACATTAGGGGTGTGTGCCCTAACATGCAAAGGAGTTCCTGCTCCAAAAAAAGCCCTGGGTTTTGACAACAAACAAGGTAAACAGAATAAGAAGCAAAAGGTGGGTGTGGCTGGATGAGCACACTTCTGGTAACATGGGGGCGTGGCCTAATATGCCAATGAGCTGTGCTGACATGGGTGTGGCCTAATATGCTAATGAGTTCCTGCTGTTGGGTATGGCCTATTATGCTAATGAGTTCCTGCTGGGCTTTTTCTACCAAAAAAGCCCTGGCCATATGGACTTGCATGCGCAACAGAACAGTAGGGATGCCGGCCTCCAGGTGGGACCTGGGGATCCCCCGGAATTACAGCTCATCTCCAGACTGCAGAGATCAGTTCCCCTGGAAAAAATGGATGCTTTGGAGGGTGGACTCTATGGCACTGTACCTCAATGAGGTCCCCGCCCTCCCCGGGCTCTGTCTCCAAATCTCTAGGAGTTTCCCTACCTGGATCTGACTACCCTACAAGGCAGCAATCCCCCATGGAGCACCCACGGCCACCCTGGTACCAACACACAGTTGGAGTCTTGGGACAAACCCCCAAAGGTCCTCAAAAGGAAAAGCAACAAGCAAAGCAAGGAGCTCATTTCCAGGCAGGGAGAAATTCGTATGCTCCTCTGTGCAATTTGGAGAATAAAAATGGACTGAGATACATAGAAGGAAGGTCGGCGCCTCTCTGGTAACAAGCAACGAAAGTACCACGAGATGGTCATCCTGCCCCCTAGCGACCTGGCAGTGTAAGTGCAGATCGTTTTCTGAAACCTAATCTACGTCGTCCGGTCTTACCTGTTCTCCGGGCCAAGGTGAGCAGGGGTCAATAGGGTCTGTTGGCATCTTTTGGCCGCTTTAGCTGGACCTTTAGCCTCTTCATGCCGATCTGGAAGCCGTTCATGGCCTGAATGGCTGCCTGAGCACTAGTTGGATTGTCAAAACTGACAAAACCTGGGAGAGAGAGACGTTGAGGGGGTGGGGGTGATGGGATGGAAAAGGAAGGAAGGAAGAAGACAAGTTCAACACTGTGAGCACCAACGAGACCCTCCGCTCAGCTTGGGATCAAGGCTGTATTATTGCAAGGATCTCACAGACGACAGCTCTTAAGAGGAAGGAGATATCCTCAAGCCAGCTGGTTATTCAGGGGGACCACAAGGCTCTTTCTAGGCATAAGTACCCATGACGACATTAAAAAAATCCATTGGGTTATATCTATCAAGTGCAGTGTTCCCTCTAAGCTGAGTTAGTGTGAGCTAGCTCATATTTTTTTAGCCTCCGGCTCGCACATTTTTGCCTTAGCTCAGGAAGGATGGCTCCAGAGGAAACTAATTGATGCAGTAGCCAAATCGTTCGCTCACAACTTTAATGCCAGTAGCTCACAAAGTAGAATTTTTGCTCACAAGACTCCACAGCTTAGAGGGAACATTGCTTCGGCTATTGTTCACCTGGGGTGTTCTGAAGAACACGAGCGGAGACAACCAGTCTCGCCAAGTTCATTTTTGCCCAAAAATAAAAAGAGAGTTATATTACTGGACATACAATCCCAATTATGATACACTCAATACTGTTGAATTTTTGGCCTGATTTAGACATTCTCGACATACAAAAAAAATTAATTGCAACGCTATTATTGGTAGCCAAAAAAGTAATTGCCTCTCGTTGGAAGGCCTCCCAGCTCCCTGAGGTAAAAGAGTGGTATATGTGTCTGTGGGACTATATAATTTTTGATAAAATAGCGGGTGTTAAGAGGTCAAATGAGTATCCTATGTTTGAGTCAAACTTCCTGAATAAGTGGTACCAGGTACTGTAAAAATGTAGATTCCCTGTATTCCTTTAGCAATCATTTCAAATTTGTTTCGTTAATGTAACGATTAAGATTTGTATAAGGTAGTATTGAAGTCTGCCTTGTAGTATAGGTATTTGAACTCTATTGTTGATGTTTTATTTTATTTTAGATTTGTATCCCGCCCTCCAAACGGCTCAGGGCGGCTAACATGCGGCGAAGCCGGGTTGAATAGATAGAATACAATAGAATAAACAAAACCCCAATAAAACCCATACAATAATCAAGCTGCTCTGATCTTCCTATGTAAATCACCCAAGATGGGAAACAATGAACCCAATTCGGCGGCCAGCTGTCTCAATAGCGCGGTCTCCAGCAGCGCTGTTCTATGCGCTTCTGTCAGGCGGTGCTTGCCCCCCATGATAGGGGCAGACGATGAAGCACTACCACGGTGGTGGGATAGTGGCGGCGGCGGCTCCTACTC